ATAACAGCAGCCGACTCGTCGGCTGCTGCGAATGGTCGCTGAGGTGCCGACCTGGGTCCCTATGGAAAGTAGTATATGAAACAGTTAGTGTTTTCTGAAAGAAACATTGTAGCATGGATTGGTTTAATCTTACCAAATTCACAGAAGTCTCCGATTCGGACGAAGACATTTCTTCCATTTCTGGAGGTTGGGCTGCCGCAGGTGGTTCTTCTGCCTGCCACTCGATGGCTAGAGGGAGCGCCGCTGCTGGTTGGGCGGCTGCAGGTTGGGCGGCTGCATCTAGAGCCACTGCAGCCGGGATCTCTGGGGCACCTTCGATTTCGGGATCAGCAACATCAAGGATGTCGTTTTGAGGGTCAGCTTCGGCGAGGGCAGTTGGTCTTTCCTTCGAAATGGATGAGTCTGATGCCATGTATGGCGGGCGACCCATCTGGAAAGTAGTCCCCTCGCTGTCTGAAGAGACCCCTGCTGTTGATGCGATGGGTGAAGGTGTCTGTGAAAAATCATGGAAATGTTTGTTGTTAAATATACCAAGGCTGATCGTTAAAATCCTAAGTATTGTTGATGAGAGAACTTACTGGTTCTATAGGCACTGTTGGTAAAGATTGCCTCCTGGTCGGGTGCCTGGCCCGACCACTCCTCGGTACGGGAGGAAGAGTTTGCCTCCTTGACAGGTCCTCCGCCCGACTGCTCATTGGCAAATTGGTTTGGACCATAGGTCCGGTTGAATGGTCGGCTGGGAGTGGCGTCGGTTGCGTGTTCGGTGTCACCAAGGTCGGTTCTGGTGAATGAAATAAGTAAAATCAAAGTTACGATATAGTGAATTGGTTCACGGTGTTAAGAAACATTACCAATTCGGGGTCGGGTCCTTGCTGACGTCCTATTTGTTCCAAGGTCTGCTAGTGTTTGCTGGTCGGTCCCCGAGGTCGGGGGTGTTTGCAGCTGGGAAGCTTTCCTTTTTCGCGTTGGACCACTAGATCCGATCCCCGGGGCGGCTGTTTGTGGCTGGGTGCTAGTGTGTCTAGCCGCCCCTAGAACCAATCCTTGGGGGGGAAGGAGTATGTTCAGCAACCGACCCTCATTAGGGGAAATCAGGGGCCATACAACCGACCACCATTCATTGAATGTTTCTACAGTCTCAGGGTTGGAGCGGAAAGGAATATAAGAATTGGAAATTATGTACGGGGTGAGCTGTGAGATATAAGAAGGGATTGAATTAGGTAGGACTCGTCGGTCGGGACTTTGGAAAATTATATGCGGACAAGCGACGGGTCCAGGGATACCTTGGCAACAGCCGAACTGGCGCGCCATGAATTGAGGTTCATAATTAAAAGTGTAAAAGGTTTTCTGCCCTTTTTTATCAAGTTTTTTGCTGCTAAAAAGAGACCTGGGTTTAAGGGCAACGTCCCAGGAAAAAGGATAGGTGGGATGAGGACAAGGCTCAGGAGTCGGAAGAGGATTTGGTGCCGGAAAGGGCCAAAAATGGTCGGGAGCATAACCCGCATATTTTTTATACATAGAAAATCGAGAGTTACTGCGGGTATCTGTTAAAATTGCGGTTATTATTGGATCGGAAGATTGGAGTTTATTGCGTCCTGAGCAGAGTCGGTTGAGGGCTAATCCCAAATGTTTTTCAGCTATTGGCATAGTGGGTGGAGATCCTAAGTTAAACGCGTTGGGGAAGTAAAGACGGAACCAAAGTTCTAAAAAAACCAAAAAGGACCCGACGCGGCAGTGTCTAATTTTCTACTATCATTATCTGTTAGACGAAGGCTAACCCTGGTGAGTCCTTCAAACAGATTGGCTAAAAACAGGGTGCCAAGGGAGAAGAACCGACCTGACGCGATATGAATGGCCAGGTCGAGATGCGAAGGAAGAACACAATTGGAAGGGGAAACAATTACGTACCTACAAAGCCAAAAAAGGATAAAGGCAGTATGCTCCCGGTCGGTCACAAGGGTCCCTGGAGCCCCTTGCTGGTCGGTTGCGAACTTTGTCCAACCCCATTCCTTCACACCTTGTAAAGACCATCCTGGATGGTCTTCTGATGGCTCCTGCCCATCTAGGGCTCCCATTACAGGGTCTTCACCCACGACTGGGAGATGCGCGATCATTGCCACATCCATAAGAGTTGGACCAAAGGGGCCCGATGGTGAGAGGAAAGTCCCATTTTCCGCATTCCAGAAGGCAGACATGGCCAAGAGCACCTTCTCATGCAGGTTGATAGGCATGGTGGACAGTAGTATTGCTTGGTCGATTTTTTTAGATCGCCATTGGGTCTGGAAGTGTTCTGCTACCCGTCGATACCAAGCGCGGTAAGGATCTTTTGGGTCTGTGAGATGGGTTTTGATGCTGTCTCGAGTGCGAACTGCTTGGTAGTTAGGGTTGTTGATGGCTAAGGAATTTCGGGATTCCAAAACTTCCCTCATCCGATTTGCGTCTTCAGGAGTAGTGCAATATGGGCGGATCGTCGGAGTTAGTACTTTCGAGGCTGAAAATGGACCCTCTGGGAGAGTTCCGTCGAAAGGAAGAGCAAGAAGGTATTGATTCGCCATAGTTAGAGTGTTTTGGGATTGTGATTCACAAAAGCTTGTATTGCGGAGAATGAAGTTAATCAGGAGTGTTGCAGTAACTGGTGCAGTTGCTAAGAGAATTTTTCGAGAAGGTAGTGATTTATGAACTTCCAAACATTGATTGTTAAATGGCGTTTGAAAGTCCCTTGGCGGCGGGCAAGTTGTTACGTACGGAATTTAGAATTAGGTTAAAAGCCCAAGGTAAAAAGAAGAATGGGCCTGGCAATAGAGTTGATTGAATTGGCTGAAGGACACCATGAGGAAATCAAGGAAAATAGGTTTTCCTCAAGACGGAAAGACCTCAAGTCGGAAGGTCTTCAGGTCGGTAGGTCCTCAAGACGGAAAGACCTCAAGTCGGAAGGTCTTCAGGTCGGTAGGTCCTCAAGACGGAAAGACCTCAAGTCGGAAGGTTTTCAGGTCGGAAGGTCCTCAAGACGGAAAGACCTCAAGTCGGAAGGTCTTCAGGTCGGGAGGTCCTCAAGACAGAAAGACCTCAAGTCGGAAGGTCTTCAGGTCGGAAGGTCCTCAAGACGGAAAGACCTCAAGTCGGAAGGTCTTCAGGTCGGAAGGTCCTCAAGACGGAAAGACCTCAAGTCGGAAGGTCTTCAGGTCGGGAGGTCCTCAAGACGGAAAGACCTCAGGTCGGAAGGTCTTCAAGTCGGGAGGCCCTCAAGACGGGAAGTCCTCAGGACGGAAAGACCTCAGGACGGAAGGTCTTCAGGTCGGGAGGTCCTCAAGACGGAAAGTCATCAAGATGGGAAGTCCGCAGGTCGGGCAAGGAAGAGGTACGGACAGACGCGGAGGTCTTCGGTCAAAGACGGAGGGCGGCTGATGAGGTTGGCCCAAGTGAAGTCGGGCCAAAAGGGCGGAAGGTCTGTAGTCGGTTCAAAGAGTGAAATATAGGGATAATTTTGGTCTGCTGAGGACGCGTGTCAGTAGGAGAAGGGTTGGAAGGCGGTTGAAAAGGAGACGTTGTAACCGTTCGGGTGACGGTTTTCAGTACGGTTTCCCAGAGAATATTTAAAGGCTTGGATAATCATTTGGCAAGGCATCTTCAATCAACTTCAACAAAGCAAAGTCAGATTTGGGGATCACCACTTTAAATTTCAGTCTTTTATTTTCCAGTTTAGTTTCTGTACCGTACAGTGTTTAGAGATTCCTAATCTCAGGCACTAATTAATCAAGTTTAAGGATATTTTCTATATCTTTGAATTTTACTTTATTTTTGTTGAAAAAATTACATCAACATTAATAATATATGACAGTCCAGTAAGGAATAATTTGGTGATGTAGGGATTGGATTTGTGATCGTGAAGTTAAGGTCATCTGTCACACATAATTTTAGTTTGAATTTAAAAATGCAAATGTACGACACATTTAAACAAATAAAGTTAAAATATATGAATTCATCAATCAAAATTTGAATTTTTTTTTGTAGTAGTTTCAATAATATAATAATATCAAGCAAAATAATTCATAAAAGTATATGTTGTAGTTATTATATTTACTCTATTATCTATTTTATATCTCTCATTCACATCATATTTATTTCAACATTTATATTATTTTATTTTTTATATATTAAATTACCTTCAACTTATTATTTTTACTATTTTATAAATTCACAATAATTTATTTATTTTTATATATTTTTATTATGTAATAATATATATAAACCATATATAAATAATTTATTTACTTAGATTGATCCATTGTCCACAGACTTTTCATTTCCAACAATTTTGATATAAGAAATGATTGAAATGAACATTATTTTCGATACTCATTTGGTTGAATTGAATATGAAAAGATAAAGAACAATAAATAATTTCAAAATAAAATAGATAAAGTCGTAGAATTTTTTAATGAATTTTAAATATATTTATAAATAATTTATTTTAAAATTTTGAAATTTCAAAATATTTTAAATAGTACTTAAATTTTATTTTATTTTTCAGTAATCAGTAATAAATTTTAATAACGGTAGATAATAAGTTTTATTATAATAAAAAGTGAAAATACACAAGTAATTCTCTAACCAATAATCAAAATAATAAACTATATTACAGTTTCTTTCTTTTCTTTTTTTTTTTTTTTTTTTTTAATATCTATCTAAACATAGCTTTATAATTGTTTAATTTTTGTCATAGAAATTCTGTCAATGAGTGATTTCTACGCCGGAGATAATTGGATAATATTGTTATGATAGTGAATTTATTGTCCATTTCTCACATATGTTGTCGGCTCAATACTTTGGAACTAATAATATTCGATCGATCGTCAAAGCTGGCAAAGATTCTATCGCACATCATGCCACAAGCAAAATGACATCCTCACTTGCATACCTTCGATACTTCCGACCTCACCATCTTTCCTTAAATCCGATCTTCTGTTCAAATCAGGTAAGTTCCCTTCGGACAAGAATCCATGGCATTCCGAAAACATGACGGCGGCGGCAACGGCGATGACGACAAATCCAAAAACCCGAAAACATGCCCTCTACAGGCCGCGTTCGGAATACTAAACAAATACGGCGTCCAGCCGAAGAAAAATATGCGTCGCGGCCAAGTCTCCGAAGCGAGACTCGGCCCCGTCAATTCTCGAGACCTACGACCCGAAACGATCGTGAAAATGGCGAAGATGAAGACCAACGACGAAAAAAATTCGTCGTCTCTTTCGCCGGAGAATATAAACGACATATCCCTCGCACGATCGCTTCTTTCTGCCGCTGAAATGTTCGACGACCGACATTTCGACGGTGCGAAAACTCTCCTCCGAAATTGCATCCTCCAATCCTCTCTTACCGGTAACTCCGTAACGAGAGTCGTTCGATTATTCGCGGAGGCGTTAACGGAGAGGATCGACGTCGAGATGGGGAAGATCGATCTCGGGAGGATCCCGTTGGATATCGAGGAAAGTCTGATAAAGTATCAAAACGCGATCGTCGTAACCGGGCAGAGAATCCCGTCGGCGCAGGTCACGCAATTCGCCGCAATTCAGACGATTCTCGACCACGTCGCGACTGCTAAAAAGATCCATCTTCTCGAGTTCGGCATCAACTACTATGGATTCCCGGTTTCGATAATGATTCAAGGCTTGGCGAATCGGAAAGACTTGCGGGTCGAGCTCCTCGCTGTTAGCACGGTGGGGACGTCGACGGACAGGCTTCGAGAAACCGGGGAGAGGCTCGCGACATTCGCGAAGTCGATGAACGTACCGTTTCTTTTCAAATCGGTCGTCTCCGAAACCGAGCTGACGGTAGATTCGTTCGACTTCCAACCCGACGAAGCCGTGATCGTATACCTTGGGCTGCACCTATGGTCGCTCTTGGCCTCGCCGAATCACTTGCAATCGTTCTTGCACTTCGTCAAGAAGGTGAACCCTCGACTGATTATCGTCAACGAGCTCGAGACGAGCACGAATACTCCGATCTACGGGGATCGTTTCCACGAGGCACTCGTCTTTTTCTTGGCGATATTCGACTGCCTCGACGGCTGTCTAAAGGGAGACCACGTATCGCGTAAGGCAATGGAAGAAGTGTTCTACAGAGACATGATTCGGAACATAGTCGTGGCAGAAGATGAAGAGAGGACACACCGGCACGAAAAGATAGCGTTCTGGCGGCGACTCTTTTCCGAGTTCGATATCGTCGAGGTCGAGCTGAGCGATTCCTCGTTGTACCAAGCTAGCCTGCTGATTAAGGGGAATCAAGATTGGAAGGATTCTTGCACTCTGAAGATGGATAGAGAGTCCTTGATTGTGGAGTGGAAAGGCACCTCTATTCAGTCGATTTCGGCATGGAAGATAGTCGACGGAAGAGGTCGAACTGATCACAACTAAGATCGACAATAGTTCGCCAATGAAAGGTATAGCTCAACTATGCTTAAACTAGTCGGGTTAAAATAGACTGAGCCCGCCAGACATACAAACTGTAAAATTGTCTGTTTACCTAAAAAGTTTAAACTTAAAGGAATAGATAAGATGAATTTACGTTACATACGACTTTTGCACGTAGATGATAACGAATGATGAGGCAGCCAAACGTCTTAATTGTTAAATGGTCAATTCATTTAAAAGCTTAAATTTAAAAGAATACGTAAGGTGGATTTACGCCAGATACGAATTTTACATGCAGATGACAGATGAATGATGAACCAACCAGATGTCTAAAGTGTTAAATAGCCCGTTCACCTAAAAGCTTAAACTTAAAAATATATTTAAAGTGGATTTACACCACATACGAATCTTACACGTAGATGACGACGAATGAGGAACTAGCTTAAACTACAAATTCACCTAAAAGCTTAAACTTAAAGAAATATTTAAAATGGATTTACACCACATACGAAGATGACATCGAATAATAAGTACGCGAGACGTCTAAACTAAACTGTTAAATAATCAATAGGGGTGGAAATAGACCATGCGACCTATTAAGGGCTTACAGCCTGGCCTGCATAAGGCCTGGTTCGGTCTAGCCTATTTATTCAAATAATTCGATAGGTTTATTTTAAAACTTATTTTATTGATTAGAATAGACTTAGATTTTACAAAAAGTCTTTTAGATCCATCAGGCTAGCTTATTTATATATATATATTTTTTGATTTAATATATAAAATTATTATATATTTATATTTTTTTAAAATAATTAATTTAGTGATGATAATCAAATAACAAATTAATTATTTGTAACTATAATTATATATACATAAAATAATAATTGTATTATATTTTTGTACTAATATTGAATTTAAAAAAATAAAAAATTAATTATTATATAGGCTTTAAATATGCTACACAGATTTAAAAATAGACTAGGCTCGACGCCTCAGGTCACCTATCACATATGATTCGTCTAGTGTGACTTTCTCGTTGGGCCTGATTTGCAGGATATTATATTCGGCCGGGAGTTTACCTATTGTGCACTAAAAAAATAGACTAGGCTCAAACTGTATAATATTTTTTTTATTACAGACCAACAAGTCAGACTCTCACCTTAGTTTTCCAAAATTGGCCCGTCCTATTTAGCAAAGTATGACCTGACCTGGCCTATTTCCATTTCTATTGATCAGTTTACCTAGTAATTTAAACTTAAAGGAATACGTAAGGTACATTTACGCCATATACAAATCTTCCACGTACACGACGAAAGAATGACAATAAGACTCTAATAAAAAATATTGCAGCTCTGATACTATATAAAATATCCATTTCACCTAAAAAAACTTAAACTCGAAAAGATAGCATATCACTAATCATTATATATATATATATATATTTTACGGAATCAACCAACATGCTCGTACACATACACCAAACCACAGTTACAACATCACCGTACCTCCAAAATCATTCGCGACTTCCCCAACCTCATCGCCCCGAAACAACCCCCGATCCAAAACCCAATCTTGTATCATAACTTGCGAGTTCACCGGCTGATCGGTCGGGACAAGATGCCCGGCGTTCACCACCACGACATGGCTCAAGTTGCGCCATTTCTGCACATACCCCGCGAGCTTCCCATCCACCCTCCAAACCTTCCTCTCCGCCTCCAAGAACTCGTCGACCCCTTCCCACTTCATCTCCTTCATCCACGCCACAGTCGAAACCACGCCGTCCCTCAAATCGCACTGCCCCTGATACAACAACACCTTCGTCTTCTCGACCAAGAACTCCATCTCCCACCTCGCGCTCTTCATCACGTCTTCGCTCATCGCCTCCTCGACGACGTCGCTGCACAGTTCGAACACCGCCGATTCGTTCGCCCCCAACGCTTTCTTCGCTTCGGGATTGTTCAGAAACTTCTCTACTAACTCATCTTGGTAAGGAATCGACCTCCTGAAATCGTACAATGTAGCCAAACCGGTCATTCTGGTTAATTCGTTCAGCACCCGTTTTCGGGCGTTCGTAGCCGCGCCCCATTCGCCGCGTCTCACGCGCTCGACAGCCTGCCTTTGAAGCTCCTCCAGAAGGGCCTTCTGCTTGCCGTTTATTAGCCCCAAATTGTATGCTTGAACTGCATGAGAAGTCACCTGAATCTCAGGATCTGTTAATCCGTTCCCAATTGCAACACCTCCCAAATTGATTCTTTCCTCCCCTGCAATGAATTGGATAATTTTGTTTGAGTTGATATTCGATTCTAAATTTTAATATTCGTATTCGAAACTATATGGTCTGAATTTGAATAGTTCTAGATTTGTATATGAATCAAATATAAATGTAAAATTTTAATGTTAGAATTTAAATTTTGCAATATTAAATTCTATAGTAAAAAAAATATATACATACACATAATATACAATATAGGATACATATATAAACTATACTAAATTTATTTATAATAGAGGATTCTTTCCATCCCCTATATTTATAACAATTGGTTCCGGCACTGAAAATATGATAAAAGTAAAAAAGTAATTAAAGATAATTTGAAAATTTAGTTAAAAATTTTTAAAAAAATAAATCAAAGAATATCCTCCCAAAAGTAAATATTTATTTGCTTTTTGCACATAGTTTTAGAAATATTAGTATTATATTATAATATAAGTAGGAATAAAGTAGAAATGACTAAAATAATCTTATGAATAATATGTGTGATATAAATGTAATAACATTTGTGTAATATATTATAAGTTGTAAGGGTATTTGTAATGTTAGGTAAATAGTACAGTTACTAAAAAAAAAATGAATACTTTGTTATATGACGGATTAAAATGAAAAAAATGAATATTTTGTTATAAAACGAAGAAAGTAGTAAAGATAATGACATTTGATGTAAATAAATATTGAATGAAAGATAAAAATTAAACATTAATTTATTAATTTTGACAAAATTAGTAATAGATAAATTTAGGAGGCGTACTAAAAATGAAAATGAAAGTGAAAGTAAATTTCATGGATAAAAGGGAATACTAATTTTACAATTTTATATATGAATATATACAATAATTAAAATTATACCTATAATGATAGTTTTATTTTTGTAGAGAAAAAATCTTTCCGTGAAAATGCCCTAAATAGTAAATATATCTATTTTTATCAACTTGTCTTAATATTATCTTCTAAGATTTTAATTACAAAATATCTACTCGAATGGGACAAAAACAAATCAAAATTCGAATCTAAATATTTAAACAAAATTGCTAAAATTAATTTCAAAACTTCAAATTGAATCCAATAATTCAAACGAACACAAAATTGCAATACTAATTTCCCAAATCAAATCAAATCAAAGAATCCATACCCGGAGGCAAAGCGGCGTTCTTCCTGAGAATGTAGTACCCAATCGACGGCACATACTTTCCGGCATAGCTCTCGCCGGTGATGTAAACAGGCCTCGACCTGAACCCGACATCCAAATCCAAGAACTGGTTGATGGCTGTATAAAGATGAGTGGCGACGCCGTCCTGGTCTCTGGGGATCTCCTGAGGGGAAGCAGCAAAGCTGAACCCAGTGGCTATGGGGCTGTCGAGAAAGAGAAGGCCAAAGATTCTGTTCCAAGAACCTGCAGGGTTGGGTTGCAGGGAGAGGTCTTGGTTGACCAGCCAGGGCCCGAGCTCGTAGAGATTGGCCAGCATGGATGAGCAGCCCGGCCCGCCTTGGAGCCAAATCAGGATGGGGATTGTTGGTGTGGGGGGATTCTCATGAGTCTGGGCTTCGTAGAAAGTGTAGAAGATGGATGAGCCAGAAGTGGAGTTGACCTTCAGGTAGCCTGATTTGGTGGGGAGGGCTTCTTTTGGATAGGACACGGCGGCGGCGGCGGCGGAGACGAGGAGTAGGAGGAGGAGGATGACCGGAGATTCCATTTCTTGAATGTGAATTGTGTTCTGGAAACTTTGGTCTGCTTGCTTTAAGACACTTTAGGAGTCTGTCATTAACAGATGGTGGAAGGAGATTGGACCTGTTCGAGCCTTTTAAATTTAAAAATAATAAAAATTTTAAATTTAAAAATTAAAAAAAATACACCCAAAGTACCCTGTTATAATTCAAACACAATAACCGGATTGTTTTGTAAAAGGGTACATATACACACCCTATTATAAAGTAATATAAAAATAATTTTATCTTACTATCTTTTTTTTCTTTTTTCTTTTTTTATAAAAATAATGATAAAATAAAAGTATGTTTAAAAAAAAGTAAATTTATAACAAAATAAAAAAAAAAAAATGTATACATTAACACAAAATAAATTTTTATTTGTTAGTAAAAATATATAAAGCATTTTAATGTTTTTTCCCTTAAAAATATAAATAAAATGAATATCTTATAAAAATTAGAATTATTTTATATAATTTCCGTACTAAATATCAGAAGCACATTCTTATAAGAAACACAATGGTGGGGGCACACCCATAAAGTAGCAAAAAAGTGCCACCCTTAAAAAGAATGATTAATCTAAGATAAAATTTCAATGGAAAAGAACAGGTATACACAAAACTTAAAAAGATCAAATTGATTCATCATCAGAATTGGGATTCCTATGCTCGATTCGATGAGTTGAGAGTACAGACAGATTCTGCATAAAATTCACATTACTACGTAAGTTCATAACCAAGAATGCAAGAACTCACCTTATAAAGTTCGACTGTAAATCCTCAACGCCTTCTGCTATGCTGCCTCTTGCTCTTTCCCTTTCTCCTGCTGCTCCCCTTTTTATCCTCGGAATCGGATTCGGAATCTGAGTACGATTCAGAAGAATCCGAGGAAGAAGACATGCTGTCTCTCGCATGCCTCCTCTTCCTTTGTTTCTTCTTTCTGTTCTTCCTCTTTCTCCTCCGCTCCTCTTCAGAGTCAGTAGATGAACTATAGCTCGATTCGCTGTCTTCTGAAGAGGAATTGTCGCCAGAGGATTCACTGCTGTCGGATTCAGAATCGGAATCTTCACTGTCTTTCTTAGAAGACCTGCGGTCAGATTTGTGTTTCTTCTTACTCTTACTCTTCTTTTCGGGCTTTTCATTTCCTTCCACCAGGCGGGCTTCTGGATTGTCGAGCTCATATGGAGTGGTGGGCTTCATCCGGAGCTTCGGGTTTTTGAGTTGCTGAGTACGCGACGGCCTGGAGATGTAAACCCTCTCGTTCTTACACTCGTAAGTCCAATGCCCCATTTGGAAGCACTTCTGGCATTGGGAAGCCATGTTGAGGACCAGAGATGAGCTCTTGGGATCCTTCCTTTCGCCGAGTCGCACCTGTTTCTCTGTGCTCATCAAATACATTTGCCTCTTGGCTTCCTTCCTTTCTTGCCATCTGCTCGGCCCTTCTTCCTTCTGTCCGTAGGCATTCACATTCCGGGCAGCCGCAGCAGCCGCCCGCTCGGCCTGGGCGCGGCTGAGACCCTTGGCAGCTGATAATGCAGCTGCTTTGATCCTTTCTGCGGCATCCTGAGCGGCTGCGCCTTCATCTTTGTTGTTTGACATGCTTGACTATCAACATACAAAGTGTAAAATCGAAATTCAGGAAATATAAACTATTTGGATTATCCATCACACTAAGTCTAAAATGTGATCTATTAAATTTATTGGACTTAAATGTATTTATTAAGTGCAGTTATGCTATTTGCAAAAACCCGGTAAATTGATGAGGCCAATTCATAATAAGGTACAATATATTAGAGTTGTGATCCCGAATCTAGACGTAACAACATCTAATTCTCCATATCTCATCGTGGAAAGTACCGCACAGAGAATTCAGGAGGGTTGTCATAGGCTGGCTTGAAGAACACGGTATTCTCAATCAATTCGTAGATCCAAATCCTATTACACTATGAAATCAGATTAGATTTATTTGTTTTATTTTTTTATCTCAACATGATGATAGATCTTGGCTTAGGATTTAATTCCCAATAATTTCCAAACTATTTACATGGCATTCTTCATTTGCAGTACCATTTTTAAGAAAAGGATCATATTGAATATCTATTTTCACTCACAAAATATCAAATAATAAACTGATTTTGTAAGGTTATCCAAAATTTCTAAAACTCCAAAACTTACAAAAATCATATACAAATGGAGCCTAAGTTTTCTAAGCACCCAAACAAAAATATCAGTTAGTAATTGAAAGAACATATGAATACCTAAGAAAATGATTTGAAAGAACACACAAAAACAGCATATAATAGGCAAGGCAAATTAATTGTATACGTAGTAAAATTTAGGCACCTTCAAACAGCTACTTGAACCCAAAGCAGAAATTGCAGAACAAAGTATGGTAAATCTTCCTATCAGCGTCAAAAACGATGTTTTTATATCCAAACAGAAGATTAGAGTGACCTCAAAGCAGCGGTTCTAACCCTAAATTTGAACGATAAATCACAAAAGCGTCGTACTAAATTTAACCGAACATTACAAATTCCTCTTATTCCAGAAACCAAATCGAATTAAAAGATCGAGACGAACCCTAGTGCAAAAGATCAATCGACAAGAAAACAGGAAACAAATGCAAGATAGCAAAAATATCACCGCACAACAGACACCACAAAGAACAGAGAAAATTCACGAACACAATATGCAAATCAGATCTCAATCGTGTGAAAGGAATGGCAGGGAAATTCGTAAAATCGCTTGAATTCAAAAGCAAACGAAGACAAACAGCTCTCAAATCAAACCAGAGTTCATACCTTTCTGTTCAGTTCGGGGAAAGAATGGAGGCAAAGAGCCAAGACTTGCCGACTTGAGGGCCGGCTGAGAACTTTTAAATTTTGTTTTTTGCACTTGCGTCCCTAAAATTGAGATTATTATGTTTTAACGCTGCTGAACCGGTCTATGTCAGTTTTTTTTTTTTTTTTTTTTTCGTCTTTAAATGAGTTTGTTTATCCAAATATTTTTTATAAGATCTTATATATATATATATATATTTTTAACAAAATTTAATATTTAATTTTTTATATTAACAATATGATTTTTTATATTTTATTTTTTTAAAAAAAATTAAATCAAAATCCTGAACAAACAAAACTCGTAATATGAACCGAATTAATATATTTCGTTATTTAACATAAATAAGTAATTTTTTGAAAGGTTGTGATAGTTAATGGATTTCAAAATTAAATTTTAATAATTTACTTATTTTTTAAAAATAAATATTAAAATAAATATTAAAATAAATATTTACTTTTATTCTTTTAAATAAAATTAAAATTAAATTTATAACATCAAATAATTATTTATTTTAAAATTTATGATTGTAAACCCTAAATTTTTAAAGTTACAATCACACAATTTATTTGGGCTTGTAAACCCTAAAATATTTATTATATATTTTACACAAATAAATATATTTTGATTATTTATTAATTATATTAGAATATTTTATTATATTATAGTTTTATTTTTATAAATTTAAAATAATTAATATATATATAAATTATTTTAATTGTAAATATATAAATTTATTAAAATCAACATAAAATAAAAAATATAAATATTAATAATTTATTTTATATTAAAATTACATTATATAAATTTTATACTAAAAATAAATTAAATTTATTAAAAATTATAAATATAATAAACTAATTGATAACTAACATAATAAATATATACACGAAAAATTTATTATTTTATATTTTACATCATTTTTAATAGAAAAACTATTTATATATTTCAATAAAAATATATTATTTTTAAAATCTAACTATAATAAAAATAAATACTTTTATAACACTTTTACAATTTTCAATAACCGATAATAAAAAATTTCAAATATTCTAAACTCAAAAGAACATAATTGAATATATTAGAAAAATAAATAAAATAAAAATATCCCCAATTATCATTTTTACGTATAAACAGCTAATATCAAATTGTTGTTTTATCAAACATTTTAATACAAACAGCTAATCGAAGCGAGTCAAACCAGCTAATTGAATCAGCTAACAGCTAACGGCTATCAGCTAATTATCAAACACGCCCTGTGACTAAAACTTTAATTTAAATAGTATTTTCACGGAGTGTAATTTTTACAAAAGAAATTAGGGTGTGTTTATTTAAAATTTGAATGTTGGATTTTAATTGAAATAATAAAATTTTGAATATAAATAGTTATTTAATATGATATTAATAAAAAAAATATTATATTGTAATACAAAATTTATATTAACTGTAATATAAAAAATAAAATAGATATTTGACATGATATTTTTAAAAAAAAAAAATTATAAATAATAAAAGTAAATAAAATTAGCCAAATAAACGCATTTTTTGTTGAAAAATTATAATTATGTTCACCCAATAAAAATTATATACACTTACAATTAATATTATAAAAAGGAGAGAACACATACCTACATTCGTACCATAAATATAAATATATATAGTTACATATTCATAAAATAATTCATCATATTTTTATATTTGACACATTTCACCGTCAGTTATTCAAATATATGTTTTTTCTTTAATTTTTATAAAAAAATATATTCTTATTTTTATTTTAACTAAAAAAAGTTATTATACTTTTGTATTTATTTACTTAAAAAAAATAAGAATCATCGATTATTATTCAAGACTTGATTGTTTGTATTTGATTATGCGGGTGTGTTTACTTGTGTGATTTGGTTTTATATTTTACTATTTCAATACTTTTTTTTCTAAAAAATATATCACATCAAACACTTATTTTTTATTTATTATATTACATTAAAATTAAATTGAAAAAAAATCAATTTTGGTCCCAATATAACTAAAATTTATCAATTTTTGTCACAATATAAAAAAAATCATCAATTTTAGTCATAATATAAATATTTTCAATCAATTTTGATCCCACTGTTAAAAAATTAACGAAAATTGTTGACGTGGGCATAACGGAAGTGACATGGTAGCTGATCTGGAAACTACACTGCCATGTACAATTATACACGACCATGTTGTTACATGGTAATGTATATTTTAGTGAGTAATTATACATGGTTATATTGTTACACGACCATGTACAATTATAGACGGCCATGTTGTTACATGATCATGTATATTTCGGTGTATAATTATACATGACCATGTTGTTACACGGGCATATATAATTCTACACTCCGTGTACCTTTATGTTTCAGTATTTTTTTGTTATTTTTTATTTTTTTTTATTTAGAATAGTTGATATAGTTAAAATTTAAAAAATAATAATAATCATAATATAATTAAAATGTATCAGTTGTAGTTCAAATATAATATTTATCGAGTTTGTTATTTTGAAAAATTTTGTCTAAAATTTTACTATTTACCATAAAAAAATTCTCTTACAAACATCTCATTATTGTATTGAAATAATAAATTAGTTTTTAATATTACTATATGCAAAATTAAAAAATAGTTATGTAATTGAATGTTTGTAAGAGAATATTTTTTTTTATGAATAATAAAATTTTAGACAAAATATTTCAAAAAAATATCTTATAAATTTTTATATTTGAATTAAAATTGATAAATTTTAATTATATTATGATTACTGTTGATTTTGTCCATTTTAACTATATTAACTATTTTAAATTCAAAATAATTTTTTTTAAAAAAATATAACAGAAAAATAAAATTTTAGATTAAAACAGAAATGTACACGGCCGTATAAAATTATACATGGCCGTGTAACAACATGGTCATGTATAATTATATACTGAAATATACATGACCGTGTAACAACATAGCCGTATATAACTAACTGTACATGGTCGTGTACTTTCCAGGTCAACTGCCACGTCACCTCTATTATGTCCACGTCAGCAATTTCCGTTAATTTTTTAATAGTGGGACCAAAATTGATTTGAAATTTTTTATAATATGACCAAAATTCATGATTTTTTATATTGAGACTAAAATTGATTTTTTCTCAATTAAATTTTACATCCAAAACATTACTTCAATATATATTTATATTATATCAAACAACTATTTCAATTCAAAATTTTATTATTCAAAATCAAAATCCAAAACTCAAAATCTTACAAGTAAATACACACCCGCAGTTTTTACCGCAGTTTTTACTAAAAACTTCTTTCCTTCCATGTTAAAATAAAAAGTTAAAACTAAAATATTCTTTGACTAAGACAAATTTATGAGAGCCATTGCAATTGCTAAGGGCCTTCAAATTTTTGGGCCCTAGTTTTGGGCCCAAGCAATCCATGCCCCGACCCTGTTTACTAGATCTTGTGCGCTAAAATTAATTTTAGCATGTGATATATATAGTATAATTATTTACTATTTGTTCATATACTATATTTATATTATAAAAACATAATATATAATTATATGTTGTTATCTATTTATATATAACTATATTATCCATAAATATTATAATTTCTCCGTTTTATTTACTATGTTCGTCTTTTTATTTTAAAAAATTTAATTAATTTTAATTAGACTAATTAATTATATTAATCTTAATTTATAATTATTTTTATTACACGATAATTTAATTTGAATTAGACTAATTAAAAATGTATTAGTGAAAATAATTATTCGTATATAATAAAAATAATTATAAATTAAGATTAATATAATTGATTAGTATAATTAAAATTAAAAATATTATAAATTAAATTTTTAAAAATAAGATTCAAATATATAATTATTTTCAGAAAAAAAAAGTGACAAAATAAGTGGGACGGATAAAAATGGAAAGGTGGACATAAGATGTGGGACGGGGGGGAGTAATATGTAAAATTGAATGTATGGATAACTAGTTGAGCAATCTTAGAAAGAAGATGTGTGCTCTTGAAACAGTATATGATACCGTTAAAAATTATTATACTACGAAAATATCGAACAGTTATCGAAAAATAAAATTCGATATCAATAATAATTTATTAAAATAAATTCGATAATTATGTATACCCCTTAAATTACTGTCTCCAATTCGTAATATTCCCAAAGATAAAACGATGTTTGTTATTGAATCAAGTGATAATCTAATATTATGGAGCTCCGACGAACTAAAATGAAAAAACAAAAAAAAAACAAAAAACTATGTCGAATGTTTGAACCCTTTTCTGTTTGTTTGAGGGATTGGATTTTTTTTCTACTATTCATCCAATTTTTTCCCCCCAAAAACATCAAATCAAACACCTATTTTTCATTTTTTATATTATACTAAAAATCAATTTTACATTCAAAACATCACATCTAACACCTATTTATATCACATCATACAACTATTCAAGTTCAAAATTTTTACTATTCAAATCCCAACTCAAAATCCAAACCTCCAAACAAACACACCCTTAAATTTATTTTTCATAGAGAGTGATATAGATCATAGATCATGTGTAACCAAACCAAACTAAGTTATTAGTCTTGTGTGTTTTATTTCTGAACTTACAAAATATATATATATATGTCTCATTTTCTCATGAACTGCTTGCGGCTAAAGTTAATTTGTTGTTTGTCTTTTTTACTGTTAATTTAGTTGCGTGAGGGTTTTAAACAAATTTAAGACCAATTATCAAATATATATATTTCATATATTATTAGCTATGAAACAATTATATTGTAAATTAATTATCTTCTATACAGTAACAACAAGCAGATAGCAAGTAATTTCGAATAACATCAGTAACAAAAATCACAAGACAAAAGGCTACCTTAAGGTCTCCCATAGTAGTAAACGCACATAAAATAAAAGACTTTCAAGAGACCATATTGATTATTGCACAACCAAAACACGAACAACTGTCGATTATGTCCGGGGAAGATGATCCTACTAACATAACAACTTGGGACATTGTCCCCACCTAAAATATCCCGGTCAGAAGATTCGCTGCCGTGGATATGGCAGCTCCGGTGATGGCGCACTGCACAATCTGCTCGTGGGAATGGTCATCGGCTGTCAGGGCTATCGCCGCTCCGGTGATCGCTCCAGCCATCGCACTGTTTTTCTGCGCATCATCCGAATTACGGGAATGTAAGAATTCCTCAAATTCCCCCGATTTTCTTACAATACAACACATAGTATGGATTACACATGCACATACCCAATCATGAACACCTCTAGCTTCTTTCAAACCGTAAGTCAGGCCCGAATGCACGCCGGCTGCTAGTCCTGAATCATTAATTAAAGGTTGATAAATCCAGGAAGAGAATTCAAGAGAGCCGAATAGAGGACAGAGGCGGCGGTATCTTACCCCATTGCAGAGATTCCTTTCCGGTGCTCTTGACCTGCAAAATGCAAATTCAAAGTAAATGCTAGATTAATTCCAAGCAGCAGTAAATCACACAGGTAAAAACAGTGTCGCTATAGAATTCGGATATTATTTAACGAATCCTAACTTTGGATGAAACTCAGTGAACTTACCAATGCTTCAACGGACTTGCGATTAGTTTCACCTACGGAGGGTAAAAAAAGTGCCATCAAATGATTATTTCTAAATGCAATGTTAAAAATAACACAAAAAAACTAAACTGCACAATCCCGCGTGACTCAATAAGAACCACAATCGTCATGACTCATTTCCAATAGAGTCGAACAAGGAAACGAAGACGAACAGCTTGTACCAAAAATCCCAGATCATTATAGCACACAAACAATGCTCTCATTGTAAAACAGTAAGTAAGGAATCATTCCCCAAGGTAGTATTCGACTACAATGCTCACATCATAAAACAATTAACCAAGGGATCATACCAAGAGTTATATAAGCTTTATCAATTACTAGTGTATGTTGTGACTGATGCAATAAAGATAATAGAGAAACTGAGACACTGAGATTTACGTCATAATGAGTATTTATAATAAATAAAATCGAACCTAACTGACTTGACTGCTTAGTGAAATGGCAAATAAATGTCGAAACTCAAGGCATTCCAACAATATAGAATTTAAAGTGCCATCAAATGTTAATTTCTAAATGCAATGCTAAAAATAACAACACAACACTAAACAATCCTGCAGACGTAAGATAAGCACCATGATCGTAGAGTTGAACAAGGCAAACGAAAATGCACTTGTACTGAAAATCCCGGATCATTATAGCACACAAACAAGTTCATTCTAAGCTGATAGTCATCTACATTGCTCTAATCATAAAACACTAAGGGATCAAACCAAGACCCATATAAGTTTATCAATTCGAATTCCATGATGAGTTTGTGTAGAGTCTTCATCCATTTCCTATTGTCATTTGTTCTTCGCACAATTAAGAATCATATAAGTTTCGCCATTAACCATCTATTCATACGAGCAAAAACCTTAATTGGTGTATGTTCATAGAACAAGAAACACAGTAAAATCTAGTCCATACATACAATCCATGCTTAATTCAATCCGATCACCATAACTTAAACGCATTGTGCAAGAAGAACAGATCAAAGTGATTCAGATTTCAGACAGTGAAACTAATCGAACTCTAAAGTAACATTCAGCTCCATTATTACCAACTGTGTTGCCTAATTATCTCTGTAACTTCACAAAGCAATTACAAAATCTTCTAATCTCCTTCGTCTGAGAGAGAGAGAACAATGCTTTTCTTAAAAATGTACCTCTAAGATCAGGAAATCTGTTGTTCTTCTTGGAGCCACCAATCTCTGGAGGAACACTTCCACCTATATCCCCACTAGCACCTGATCAATCAATTTGAATCGGAAAAGCAAAAGAGTTCACCAACAGCCAAACAAAATTAAACAAAAAAATCAGACACAGGAATAGAAACAATGCAGAAAGATACTAAACAGCTAAATCTGAATCAGTTTCACCCACTTTCAACAGCAGTAAAATAAGCATGGCGAGACACAGCTTGCACCGCTCCGATCTGCCATAACCCCCAAAGGAATACCAATCAAGCTAAAGTACATAGAGATTTCAAAATTGGGGAAAAATAAATGCACAACCAATTCGGAACCCTAATTAACTAATTGAGATATGCACCCGTCTCGAATGCCCTAACTATCAACAGAAAATCCCAAAATCGAGACGTAATCCAGATTCACACAATAATTCCAGCTAATTAGGCGGAAATTGAACGCAGGCGAGTGAGAAAACCTCCTATTTTGACGAATTCGATTCATGTTTTAAAAACGGAGTAATTAAATACCCCAGCAGCTTTAACGAAGCTTTCAGCAATGCGATTGAGAAGAGGGTGGCCTAGATCGAAGTAACCGCCGCTGTCGAAGCTCCTCAGCTCATCGATCAATGATCGCGTCTCCAGGTTACTCCCACTCATCCTTTCCCTTTCTTCCTCCTACTTTCTGATCTCTTTGAGAAAATGAACGAGAACTCAATGGAACCCAGATTTGCCTACAGGGGGAAAATGGAATGAAAACGAGTCGTCCATGGCGGAATGCTTGTAGAGAAATTGGTTCGCTCCGATGAGGGGGAATATGACACGTGTCGAAATCCGTACACGTGGCTGAACATAGCGCTCTGCCGCGGAAACGGTGGCACGCTTTTTGAGTCGAGGCAACGTGGCTTGTCATCTGCTAGCCACGTGGCATTTAAAAATGAGTTGTAGCTGTCTCTTTAATATTTGCTAACTTTTAAAAGTATGTAATCATTTTTCTGCGTAAAATTTATTTTTATTTTATTTTTAATGTTTATTAAATTTATTTTATTATTATTTTTGATAAAGTTAAAAAGTTAATATTTAATTATTATTATTATTCAATACTTATTTATCACAAATATTACTCATTTGTTTTACTTTTTAATTAAATTTTTAAATATATCCTGAACTACTTATCACTTTTTCAATAAAATATATATTTTTTTAATTCTTCTGTCAAATTCAAATGAATTAATTTTAATGGACGGAGGGAGTATTAGTTAAAAAACAGGAATAAATAGATTTTTAATTTATTTTTATTTTTTTAAGTAAAATATGTATGAATTATTTTAATATTTAATTTATATTTTCTGAAAATGTCTCGTGTTGTAATCGGTATATTGTCATTACATATCATCTAAGTTGATTTAGATTAGCAACATCAAATATTTATGTGGAATTAATTTTAGATATTTTATTTTTAAACAAATGTTTATATATGTATAATTTAAATTAATATTAATCCAAAAGTGTATCAAAAATTAATATTAATTGAAAAATATATATTTTATGTATATATATATATTATATTTTATGTTATATAATATTAATTGAAAAGTGTATCAATTATTTTTGTATTAGGCCTAAATCTAACTCCGATCATCTTATGATTCTACCGCATGCAGCTTATCAAAATATATATTATTGTTATATAAAATAAATCACATTAGGCGAACCATATGTGACATACAAGATCCGGAGGTGTCACTTCCCCGCACCACCCGGCCATCCTCAGAGGCCGGACCTTATTATTCTTAATTTGTAAGTACAACTTATATGTTAGTTTTGTAAAATAATTTACAAAGTTATTTTTTTATCTGAGGTATAAAGAATTGTATTTTTAATATAAAAATAATAAATACATAATATATATTAATTTTTTTAAAAAAATTGTGTATATTTTGTTTTTTTTTAAAAAAAAAAACACACACCAATTATTTTATATACTTAATACAGATTTATCTTTATAAATTTAATCCAATGTTAACTTTATAGACCAATCATCTATATATGCATGCATCTTCATGTAATATGTTTAAGTGAAATCAAAATTAATTTTCCATATCAATTATATAGTAAGAATTTGTTATTCCAATTATTTTTTTTGGATTCCAATATTTTTTTATATAATACTTCATCCGTCTCAATACAATAGTTATTTTTATCATTTTTATCCGTCCCAAACAATAGTCTCATTTCCATAAATAACTATATCACTGTAAACTTATCCTAACTTTTTCATTATTATTACACAATTGTCACTATTTTTTATACTAATACACTCACAAGGGCAAAAAATATTTTACCTATATTTTTTACCCACTATCAATATTTTTTAAATCTCGTGTCAGACACAACTCAGACTATAATTTTAAGATAGAGGGAGTATTACTATATGTTCCACATAATTTGACCATGTTTTTCTTTTGGGGTCATCTCACTTAATATGTCTATTATATTTTTGACACTAATTAATTATATTTATATCTAATAATCATAAAATTAAAATCCTAATTTACTAATTTAACCCTGCCTACCCCCACACCACCACAAATTACACAATTACACACACTCTCTCACTCCCTCTCGCACTCACACACCTCGACCTCCTTTCTCTCTCTACAAACTCTCTTCCCCTTTCTTCGATCCGGTTGACCTGCCGGAGTTGCCCTCTCCCCCTTCCGTCATGGATCGGGCTGCACTCCGTCGTCCTCTCGCTGTCACTCCCGGCTCCCTCCTCCTTCCATCGTGGGTGAGCATTGGTCGGTTCAAATCGAAAAAATCGAAATATTTTTCGATTAAGTTTGTTAATTAATTGGTTCAGTTCGGTCAAAAATTGAATTTATAAGTTTCGGTTTCAGTTCGATTATAGTTTTTAATTTTTAATTAACCGAAAATATCAAACTTTTAAAAATAATAATAAATTATATATTAATAAATAATATGTATTATAATTTTGAGTATATATTAAAAATTTATATTAATAAATAAAAATTCGATTTCTTCGGTTTTAAATAGAACCAACCTAGTTTGGTTCGGTTTATTTGATTTTGAAAAATTTTGGTTCGATTTCGATTTTAATTTTTATAAACCAAAAACTGATCAAAATTGAAAGTTCGGTTCGGTTCGAACCGAACGGATGGAATGCAAACCCCTATCCGCCATACTCCGTCCAAATTATGTCGTGGCTATATTTTTTATACGTAATTTGTTTGGGCACAATTTCGCTGTTGTTTTGCAGCATTTACTCATAGAAAATTGTTTCTACACACAAACTCAATTTGTTAAATACCAAATTGAGATGAATGGGGAAAAAATATTTTTTTTATTGCATTTCATTCAATGCTAAACAATTTTATATTTACAGCTCCATTGACAAATCATTTTCAGACAAAAAAAGTCAAAATATTTTTATTTAATTATCCGATATGTTTGCACGGTAAGTCTGTAGACTTTTTTACAGTTTTACTAAAGCATAAATATTTTTAAAAAAATATGTTTAAATCATATTATTATCTCTAATATACTAAATGATATGCGTTGTATATAATGATATTTTATTATATTTTGGGCGACTTTTGAGATACGAAATTTCGTATATATGCAACTCATTGTGTGTTTTTGATTGTGTAATAAGTTTCATGGAGTTGACATATTTTGAGATGTATTTGGGAGACAACGAGCAGAACACACGAAGACTTTAGGCATGATCATGCAACACAATGTGAAAATTGTGAAATTTACAAAAAGGTCATCCGGGGTAAATTAACAATATAAAGATTATACATTGAAGTGCAAATGAGATCTATTTAAAAGGGGATCTTGGATGGATTTGAAAAGACATGATTTTTTCAATTGAAGAGGAGAAGAGAAGGGGACTACCACGTTCTCTACCACGACACCATATTATTTAAAGGGAAATAAGGAAGAATACGATGGAAGATAAAAGAAATTGGAAGAGGATTGCAGACGACTTTTCGGGGCGTTCTTCTTCTATCTTCGTATTGTTCTTCTTTGTTGATTTCAAAATTGAAGGCATTATGAACTTCTTTATTTGTTTTGTGTTTTCAATTCCTATGAATTTCGAGTAATTTCATTTCTAATATCTTAAATCAACAATTACCATTTAAATCTGATTCACATATCCTTTTTCTATAAAATATTAAATGCATTCGTGAACCAACTTTATTGGAATAGTGGGCTGTATAGGCATAGCTCTATTTCTAACTAAACTATATTTTTTTAAATATGGCACTTTTACGAATTATCTCCTTTTATTTTCATTACTTCAATCAAACAGCTTTGTAAATTTAAAAATATCCTACTCAATGTTTCTGGTGTCAATTTGTTAAAACTTATTAGAACTGTTTTAACAAGCTCTTCCACATTCTTGCATGATTTTTCTGTTTGTAAACTTTGAATAGCTTAAAACCATCCTAAGTCATTGACATTCATATCCGGAGAATTAAGAGGTTGTTTAGTAAGAACAATATGAAAACGATATGTAGTTGTTGCATTTATAAATTTTGCATCATCCCCTTTAATGTATGATTTCATATTGTCTTGTTGAATAAAAATATATTTAGATTTATGATGTGGCCACTTTGTTTTTTTTTTTTTTTTTTTTTTTTTTTTATTGATGGAATAATCTGGGAACGAATAAAAACAGAATTAACTAGATATTTAAAGTTGTAAATATTTATTGAATGAGATGCGACAATAATGACAAAAATACGATGGATCTTCTACTCTACTTCCAGAGTTTGTTTTCTTACATTTAATGATGTTGAAAACTAAAAATGTTTGCTAACCTAATTAATCAAACAACTTCTTATAACTTCTTTTGTTACGAATTTATTAGTTTTGTTTCCATCAGTCTCATATTGGTCGTGAAACAACATACATAAACATAATCTTATATATGAATTTTTTACTTTTGCATGTTCTGTGTGTATCCTCTTCTAGTGTGGTCAAATAAAATCGATGGCTAGTCTTGGACATTTAAAATTATTTTTCATCGATATGAACTATGTTTTTCATACTTTGAAACTATGCATTTTCAATGCACCGAAAACAATCTAGAGCTTGTAAGAAAAAGTAAAACCTTGCAAGTTTATTGGTATCGGTAAGTTCTCGCTTAATTGCACTTGTATGAGCTCGGATGTGTTTTTCTTTAACCCATCTATGCACCGTTGAATTTGAGCATTGCATTCCCTTTGTCAGGATTCTGATTGAGGATTGCTACTGCACGGAGAACCTCTCTATTGCCGTCAAATCGGGTATGATCTTGTCCTTTCTGATCACATTTTTTTTCTTATTACAAAAAAATATCCTCGCCTTTTGTTTTCTTCTTTTATTTCCAATGCCTTGAAACAATTTTATAACTGCAATTAAATTTTCTTGCAGCTTCGAAAAAGACTTCATGTTGTAACTGACCCGAGACATCGCATCTGGCATAAAATAAATGCCACAAGTTTAATGTAATTTATGTAATCTGTTTGGATGAAAATTTAAGAGACAATATAATTAAAATCCGTTGTAATAAAAGGTGTATTTAATAGGTGTTGACTGGGAGGGGATTTTTTTAGTTGTAAAATTAATGGGATGAATTTTTTGATTGTGTGTTAATGTCGACAGTGATGTTGTAGTAAAAATGAGAATTTTTTTTTTTTAGGGTCGATTTTGTTTGGGAGAGAATAATTTTAGGTTGCGTTTTTGGTGGGAGAATGATGTGTAATGTTAGTGTTATAATTATAAAGTATAATAAGTTGTGGCTTGTGTTAATTTTGAAAAATTATTTCTTGGTGTATAATTTGTTGAGAAATAATGTGAAATTTTTGTTGTAATAAACTCCCTAGGTGAATATTTAAAACTTAAAATATAATATTCTATGTTAAAGGTGAACAAGTGATAAAAGAAACTATTTTTTTTTCTTTTCTTAAGACACGTACGCATTCACACCTCAACGGAAATTTCACCCAAATATATGCACACATACATCCATCCAGGATCAAAGTAGATATTCTTATGCAGTCCTTTTTTTACAAATTTTTAATATTTTTTTTTAAAAAAAAATCATTTTTGGTTCCAATATAATCAAAATTCATCAATTTTGGTCTCAATATAAAAATCTTATCAATTATGGTGCCAATATAACCAAAACTCATATTTTTGTTCCCAATATAACCAAAACTCATTATTTTTGGTCACAATATAAAATTTTTATCAATTTTAGTTCCAATATAATCAAAACTTATTATTTTTGTTTCAATATAATCAAACTTTATCTTTTTTTGTCCCACCATCAACAAACCGACGGAAAATGCTGACGTGGACTTGCAAGATTGTGCAATTTCTTCAAATATAAATATAAGGATTGATTTCTTTTCACGTCAGCATTTTCCGTCGGTTTGTTGACGGTGGGACCAAAAAAGATAAAGTTTGATTATATTTGGACAAAAAATGATGAGTTTTGGTTATATTGGGACTAAAATTGATAACATTTTTATATTGGGACAAAAATGATGAGTTTTGGTTATATTGGAACAAAAAATGATGAGTTTTGGTTGTATTGGGACCAAAATTGATAAAATTTTTATGTTTGGACCAAAATTGATAAATTTTGATTATATTGGAACCAAAAATGATTTTTTCCCATTTTTTTTCTTAATTATTCTAACACTACTGTTAAACATAACCCTATATTTACTAATCATTGTTTCGTCTAAATTTTCGTATCTACAGTGATAGAGACAAAATACCTAAGATGGAGGGAGTACATTTTATCGTCTCACAAAAAATCAAAATTCAATATAAAATACTCCCTCGGCCTCCCTCACTAGCAAGATAATTGACCAATTTCAGTAATGACGTGGTATTTAAGATATGTAATAATATTGAATTAATTAATAATATTGAGTTATGATATTATTTTATTATTTGTTATATAATTAATAATATTAATAATTTTAAAATAAATTTAATATGTATTATTAAAAAAATAGAATATTTATTTAAATAGTTTAAAAATTATATTGCAAGAAATTATGCAATATGAATTATTTTGTAAAGAATAATTTTTGCTAAAATTTCTCAATAGTCTTATATATATAAATGAAAAATAATATTATAAAATTGTTTTAAAATTTATTTAAACTTTTAAAATAAATAAATAAAATTTATATTTATTTTTTAATAAACTATTTTAATTTTGAATTATTTATAAATTAATTTACTAATTATGTGTTTATTTGTATTTTTTAGTGTGTTTTATAACTATTTCGAGTTTTTATTGTAAAGATATCATAGTTAATGATATTTTATAAATTTTTGTTATTTTTATTTTATTGTATATTTATATTTATTCTTTAATATTATAGTATTTATTTTTTAGTATCTTTGAAAATGGTGTATCTTATAATAGTATTATTTTCGTACAGTTCCAAGGGTCTCATTTACTTTTTTTCGTGTTAGATTTTTGAATATTAATTATTGTATTAAAACGTAGTACAAATTAAAAAAAAATTACAAAAATACTTCAATTAGTATCTTATAATACTAATAGAATGACATGTACAAAAATTTATACAAATATATATATGCTCACACAATATATAAAATATATTTTTTCAACTTACAAAAAATTAATAATTCAACAAAAATATTATTTTTTATATTATCCATATATTTTTTTGGTATTTAGCATAAACAATATTTCAAACTCAAATAATTAACAAACACACTTTTTCTACTTTAATCCTTTGACATATAAAATATAATTTTATTATTAAATTTGATATTTTATATACTTTTTTATAATCATATTGGTAAAAAAATTATATTTAAGAACCCGTTTTTTTAAGCTTGTCCCGGATCGTATAATACTTAGGAACGGATCTGTTTATGTTTTTCATCCGAAAAGCGTGTGTGACCACACCTAAAATCACTACGTTGTTATGTTCTTTTAGGCAAAATCCGATGTAATCACACCTAAAGTAAGTAGAGTTGACAAAAATAGACACAACCCGAACTCGGCACAAAAGACCGTGCTTAGGCCTCCAAAAATAAGCCAAAACTTTTGGGTCGTGCCTAACTCGGCAAGCCAATAAATCAGGCAATGCCTGGGGCCATAAAGGTCGAATTGTATTTGACCCGATCCGATTTATTAAAATTAATATTATATATAATATATATATTAACTAATGAAATAATAACAAAAATTAAGACATAGCCTTATGGTAAAGACCTTACTGGATCGGTCCGGCATAGCCTGGTTCTAAACCATATCATGCTCGGGCCTAGCTGCTCAGGCCTAGTCGGGTAGGCTTGCCACCTCTAAAAGTAAGGGTCATCTTTTGTGGGAAAAATTTTGTGTGACCTCACCTAAGCATTTGGCTCCATTTCATTTTTTTTTTAATTGCTAAGGAATTTTTTTAAAAAAAAAAACAAAAAAGTTCAAATGAAATATAAATTATAATTAAAAATAAAATAAAAACTGAAAAAAAAAATAGAAATAAAATAAAAAATTTGGGTTGCCGCAAAAAAAAAAAACGTCTTTCTTTCGCCTTTTACATAGTTTCCATATTAGTTATTTAGTAACACGAACTGTCTTGTCCACTTCAATTTGCATTTTTTTTATCTTCATATTTAAAAGGAAGATTACTCACAAAAATATTTTTGCAAGATTCATATTATTATTTTAATAAGTAGGCTCCAACTGATTCTTTATTAATTAGATACTCCAACTGCCGCTCCATGGACTGAGAATATTGTCCGCAACAGAGTTGTCCGAAAGCCGTGCTAGTTATTAATTTCAGCATCATCATGGACTTGGAGAATATCACAAATCCTAACCCTAGAATTGCTCAAAAAATTCAAACGGTTAGCTATACCGATGATGGTCTACTGTTAAGAAAGAATCCGGGCATTCAACTTAAAACCAATTTATATATTAGAGGAGTTCCTACACATTTAGCAACGTGAGACAATATTCAACCGATGATGGTCTATGACGTATATGGCCGAGAAATTAGAGAGGTTGATCAATGGTTGATACTTTAGCGGCACGGGGAATGAAGCGACGGTGGTTGTGAAGTGTGTGACATAAGTGTTCCAGCCGAAGAGGTTGAAACGAGATAATCGAAGTATAGAACAGATGTGTGTAGTCAAGGTAGAATCGTTGGACCATGAAATGAACTGAAGTTAACTTAGATTCGAGGGAGGAAATGGTATGCACAAAAGAAAATGTTATTGCCACCAAGGTGGAACCAGAACTTAGCCGGAAGAGAGCTAATTTTTTAAAATCGAAAATAATACAATTATATTTAATTTATACATATAAAAGCATATGTATTTATTTATTTTCGGGTAATTATATTTTCGAATTGTTATATTTTAAAAATTATGCTAAATATTGGTTAGAGTTAATAATTACTCATTAAATTGTAATATGATATGCACGATATATTTTTTGTTGAAAATTTTCAAAAATATTGACAAATAATAATTACATATATTTAATAAAAAAAAGAGATGTCAGTTGCATATAATATATTCAATTTTTTTTAAAGTTATATATTACGAGGGTATTTATATAAATAAATATAAATGTAACGATATTTGTAATGTATAGTAAAATTCAAAATAGATGTTATTTGTTTGGATGGAGGAAGTATATAATAAAGTGTTGATAATAAAAATAAATAAATAAATATATGAGGTGATGCGATTGGCCGGGTGCGAAAGGAGAGAGCAGCCGAGCTGAGGACTTGATGCCTATAAAATGGGTCGAAAGTCATTGTTCATTTTCATCTACTTACAAATTTTTCTTTTTCTTTCTTGTTTTATTTCTTCCTTTTTTTTTTTTCTTTCTTACTTTCTCCGTTCGTTGTCGTTGTCGTCATCATGTTCCTACAATCTCATCCCAAAGGGAAACGGACATCTACAAGAGATTATTCTTCAAGAAAGTACCAAGAAGATAAAGTATGACTATTTGGGGAATAGAAAATATTGAACTTTTAAAAATAAAGATATTAATAGATTTAGATAAAATAGAATTTTAGGCAAATTTATATTTGGCAGATAATAGAATAAATAGAAGTAAGGACTCTCCCAAGGAATCTTCTCTCTTCCCTAATAAATTTTAATCTTTATGCAATTTCTTTTGTTTTCCTTCGATTTACTTTCTTCTTCCTGCTTTTATTTTCTTTTAGCTTTCTTTGATTTCTTGCCTTATTTCTTTACTGTTCTTACTTTCTTCTCCTTTTATCTTTGTACTTTCTTCTCTATTTTTGATTTATTACTTTTGGGAACACGGCTTCGGATCCTTTTTGTTGGAAGTTGGAGAAGTCACCCGATTTTCTGAATGCTTGATCCGATAAGCCGTCGAAAGATATTTTGTGCGACAATAATATTATAACTTATTATTAATAATTTGTTAATCTATACTATCTAAAAGACTGTGTCCTAAACAAATTTGTCATCCTTGTTCGGACAGAGGGAATATTAATTTGTTTTGATTGGTTCAAATTTTAGCATAATTTTATTATATGTGTATTTGTATTATTAATTTAATGAATGTAATATGAAATGAAAATGAGATAAAATGAATGAGGAAATAAATAATGTCCAAATGTCAAGTGACTTGGCTTAAATCCTCTTCATATTTTTTCAATTAAATTTATGTGAATTTTTACAAAATCAAGATTAAATTCACCTCGTAAATCTTGTTTGCAAAAACTGCCATAAAAAGATTCCTCATGTTTCATAGTATTTCGCAAAATTATGAATGGGAGCTACCAATCCGGACCGTATTAAAAAGGTTATCGAGACACCGCATTGAAACATCACAATACTCTGAAACGAGGTCTAAGAATGAATAACAAATGATTCGTCTAGTGCAACTTCATTGCTGGCGTAATTTTCAAGTTATTACATGGACTGAAAATTTACTCAGATATCACTATAAAAGTAGCTGCTACTACCGATTCCGAATTATTTGTTGTGACATAATTACTATGGTTTTAATATGTTCTAATTTCATCGTTAGATAATCTTCTTGTGACATCCATATGCTTGATCTTGATCATATGTTATATTTATTATTGTTAAGGTCAAGATCTTGCCTTTTAATTTGAAAATGTATTCCGCATGATTATTTATTTGATTGAAACTTTTTATTTTTATTATTTATTTTTACTTGTTTCTTGGACTAATTATGGTTATTGTCAATGTTGAAGTTTAATTTCAAATACTACGTCTATCTATACATACTTAATATTTTTTTTTCCAATAAAAATAATATTCCCTCTTGCCCCACTAAAATTGTCCGTATATTACCGTAGATACAAAAAAAAAAAAATTTTAAAAAATGTCCCATAAGGGATGGCCTGGTGACGTAGGGGTTGGACTTGTGACCGTGAAGTCACGGTCGGGCCTGGTTGTTGTATTACTCTTTCGACAATAGTTTTTCATTACAATTTCAGGCTTCAGGATTACGAAAAGCTATGCGAAAGAATGGAATCATTGTGGATTGGTACGGTCGTATTATGGAAAACGACAAAGGTAAATTCATAGCCTACATCAACAACCTTTACTCTTTCTTTCTCAATCAATGCATTGATGGATCTATCGATCGCTTGTGCTTCTTGAAATGTAAACAGAATCAAACGACAAATGGTGGGTAGGGTTGCCGACTCCTCCTTGGGACGATACAGCAATCTCGCTCGACCTACCACCAAACTTAACATACGCGGATGTGTTTTCGAACGTAAAAACTCTCTATTTGTCTTAACTTAACTACTTACGTTGTATAAGTGCACGCCGTGGCAAGTTTGATTTTGCATTTGTTCTGACAAAATGCTATTGGATTTTTATGAAGTCGTATCTTGGTGTGCACGGTGAAAAAGGTGAGTTAGTTATTTCCTTCCAAAACCTCATAGTTGTATGGTTTTGTAATCTAGTTTAATGACAACTTCTTTGTTTTAGATGTCAAGAATTGTCCGAAGGAAAGCCCCAACTTCGAGTCTCCCAGTTGTTCTAACGATCACCTCAAAGGAGACTCTCTCACTTGCTCGAAGACGCTGGACACCCCTCCTCGGCCCAAAATCTTAGAGAATCATGGCGCTCCAAAAATTTCAAAGTTTTCTCTTATTGACGTAAGCATTGCATATATACATATGTATCGGCACGTCTCGATGTCACTATGTTACTTATCATTCTTATTCCATTCCTCCAGATCTCCGAATCAGACATTGAGATGAAGCTTGCTATTACAAAGAAAAGACTTCAAAAAAATTATCAAGACATTGAGAACGGTACATCATCATCAATAATTAAATATACTCATTATGTACGCTTTAGAATTGAACTAAGCTTATTTGCATTGCATGTATAGCCAAAAGACAAAGAAAGATTCAAATGATTGAACTACACAATTTGCCCAAGGATAGTCTCTTGCAAATGGATAATCCATCAAAGCCTTTTCGGCGCGGACCTTTCACAAAAAGATTCAAATAGATGGAGATACGGTTGGAGGCAAAGATCGCCTCAAGTTGGAAATGTGGCCCTCGCTGTAACAAGAGCTTTTATTTCAACTTTTATTGTAAGAACTAGTCAAAGTCGACCAAAATGTATATATTTTTTAGAACTACGTCATGACTTGATCCTTTTTATGGGTACGTAGGCAGCTTGGATATAATATCCAAGTTCAGTCAAATATGCAAACAATGTAATATTCGTCGGCACAATCACAGCATCAATCAAATGAAAAGAAATACACAAATTTTGTTCTACCAAAATGAAGCACTTATGGCATTATATTCCAAATTAGATATTAGTTCAAAAAAGTTATGTTGATTTTGTACTTCAATAAATGTCAATGATAGTGCATACATGTATATAATTTTGTGTTTGCATTTATATTTAGGCTTTGTTCTCTTGTGAATTTCTTGCCGGATTTTTATTATTTAATTTTTTTTCGTTTCAAAAATATCAAATCAAACAAATATTCTTTAGTTTTTTATATTACACTAAAATTGTTTTTGTTTTATTAATATCACATAAACACCTGTTTATATCGTATTAAACAACAGCTCAAATTCAAATTTTTTCTATCCAAATCCACAAACCTACACACCCTTACAAAATTCAATCCTAGTACTCTATTTTACTTTATTTTATTAATTCTTAATCTTATATTTCAAAATGAGAAATTAGAAGAATGCAAAATCCATCGAGAGAGTTTAGTTGCAAATGACATATGATCATTGTGGCAACAATAATCACCTTTCCTATTCATAATTCTACTAAAGACAAGTTTAAACATATGACACTCTTGAATACTACTAAGATGATTTGTGAGATCGGCCTACGATCATAATCATGTACCACACCCGACCCGTCACACCCCAACCACTAGCCCATTTGTCGCTATAGTAAGATTCTAGTACTACATCTAATGAGTCGAGCAATCAGCGACCATTGGTGATTGCTCGGGTTATATACGATCATCTCGGAAACCAAATATAAATTAGGCCAAGTGATTTATAAGTTAAGAGAAACTTCACCGATGTATGTTTGGTGTCAAAACAGGACATTACTTAGTCGCAAAATTATTTACGAACAACCATCTCATCGCGTACCTGAAGAAAATGTGTTCGCCAGCCATTCCTACCCCATATCAGCATCCGGGTGACTAAGTCCTTCATATTCCAGCTTCAAGAGAAGAAAAAAAGAAAAACAAAGATCGGTCAGCCAGCGGTGAATTATGTATAATCGTGCCGTTGGAATTGGATTTGACAAAATTACCGTAGCTTTACTGTGCTCTAATTTCATCCTTCGATAATCTTCTTGCGCTCTCTTCGAACGAAACATTGCCTGAACCTTCACAACAGATCTCTCGACACGTTCCTCAGCTTGTTTCCTGCTCGCTCTGAAGAAATCCTCTTCCGCATTACTGTCATCGTCCGGACCTTTTTCAGGCTCCGTACATTGAACTTGAAGCCCCCGGAAGCCTCTCCGCTTCAGGCGCCAACGCAGTATTGCTTTTTCAACAATGCCAACAGACCAGACAATCTTAGTGTACTGCCTCCGGACTTGGAATCCCCGGAAAACAGCCTGCAATCAAACACTACTTATCAACGGATCGGAAGGTAGGAGGCGTAGCATCACTTAAAAGTGCAAATGCGGCTTAACTTACTTGAATTTTGATGGCTTGTCGGCGCATATTAAGGAATTCCTTCCGCATCTTCCATGTGCGGAATCTGTACTGGATTCTAGCAACAGCTGCCAATTTTTTGCGCGACTCGAAGTTGCGGAAAGCATGCTGGATCTTCATTGCCGCAACTATGCTGCGCGCTTCCGCCTCCGGATTAGAGGCCTCGACTTCTTTAGTTCGTAATTTGTATGAACGCTCCCTGAATGCAGCCTGAATACGTGCAGCCGCATCAGCTGCCGTCCTGTAAGCTGTCAATGTATCCTTGAGATATAATTCGTCCTCGTTGAAATTTCCGAAATTTCCAGGATCCTCGGATTCATTCCGGATAGAAGATTGGAGTGTTCTGCTTACATTTCCAGCTAAATTCATATCATTAAACTGTGCGACTAAAGCCTTTTCAGCAAGATAAGCTGCCAAACCATCGAAACCGCTCTTAGAAGCAAGATCAGCAGCAGTGCAACCGCCAGGGCTCTCCGAAGTAGGATCCGTGACAAGATTTGGCTTTGCCCCAGCAGACAAAAGAGCGGCAACCATCTTTTCCCTGGAAAAAATCACCAACAGATGCATATCAGATATATCAGAACTTGAAATATGGATTCGAAAATTGCAAAATCTGCAGAAGAAGCTCTATTTACAGTTCTTGGAACATTGGGACTGTACCTTCCATAAAATGCAGCCCAATGTAGTGCTGTCCACCCAAACTTATCCCGATAATCCATTGATAGACCAGACCATGAATACGGGAGAATTGCCCAAGTATAACCTAAGATGGCACACAAATGGATTACGCCCTGACCATGTTCGTCACGTTCCGGAAGTTTGCACCCGGATACCACTTTCTCTAGCAACCATTCCTGAAGTCTATTCTGTAAGGTCAACTCAAACAAGCTATCCCTTGCCTGAGAGAAAGGCATTTTGACATCTTCAGTCAATTTGTACAGATAAAGCCAACCCTTGGAGACGTGCGATGTCCTCTGCGCAAAAGCTTTGGCTTCCTTTAAAGCACTTTGGGATAGCTTGGATGAGTATACATCAAGGCTCTGGGAAGATGAAAACAACAAAGAACCAAGCCTCATCTGCAGTCGAAGCTCTTCCCAATCAGATTTATCATCCAAACATACTGTCTTGGCCGGTGCAGAAGTTGCACGGAACTCAAAAGTTAAAACTTGGCTAATTGGATTATGACCATCAAAACTCAGATAGAGATTCACAACTCCAGGTGATTGAGGTGGAATTACACAGCGAAATACTCCATCTTGTAAAACTTCAACACTAACAATGGTATCTCCACATACAAGAAACAAAGTGGAATCTGCCACGGGTACTTGTCGTCCATTGAAACATCCAACAACTAAGATCTACATATCAACATATACCATTTTAAGTAACAGTAATGATTTGCCCAAAGAAAACTACAACAGGCCGAAAAAGATGCAAATTTGGGAGAGAGAGAGAAGAGGAACCTACTCAATTTTTCTTCTTCACATTGAAGATAATAAGGTAGCAGATTGAGAGAATATGCATTTGATCCTACAATTCTATATTTATTTTCAAAGTAACACTACACTAGGATTTGTTTTTCTGTACTTAATTATCAAGAAGTTTACTATCAGCGAAATATAACGCCTAATCGTAAGGTTTAACTAAAATACTGCACCTTTGTTTCTTCAGTTGAAAAGGCCCATGAAGGCGAGACATCAGCTATGTTGAATATCTGATCCAGCGCGGATGAGAGATGGTTATCTAACATTCGAGAAATAAATGACTGATTTCCAGTTGATATTGACGATTCCAAAGCTTGATCTACTGATCCTGGAGAATCGGCAATAATACAGTCCACCCAGTTCCCAAAACTGTCCTGTGATTGTAGTGTGTCTTTGAGTAGATCATCTAAGGAATCCCCTCCAGCTAATGGCCCACGCCCAGAAACAATGACCTGAAAGTATGTTATTGTATCACATAACTCTCTCTAGTGGGATCCAGAATTTGAAATATTAGAGCAAATTGAATTTGTCCCACTAACATGTCCGGAAAAACTGTCAACCGAACTTTCTGGGGATACTTTGTTGGTTGCAAGGGAACCCTCCTGCAGGATAAAAAAAATTCAATCAACCTAAGCTTGATTGATGTCATTAAAAAAAAATCTAGAACATGTTGACTGTAAGCCAAACTGAACACCTGGGTGCGGAAGAATAGTTAAAGAAACTAAGGTTGTGTTCTTTTGTGGATTTTTACTGTTCAGATTTTTTTTTTCCCTCCAAATCTATCACATCAAACAATTACTTTTCTTTTTTTATATTATACTATAATTTTATTTTACATTCAAAACATCACGTCAATTTCTATTTTTGTTACATCAAACAACTATTCGAATTAAACTTTTTACTATTAAAAAATCCAAACCCACAAACAAACACACCCTAAGATACTCTTGTATAGATTTGAACAATGAAACCATACAATAAAAGATCAAACGGGAACCATAGCCTTCATAGTGAAAGTACTAACAAGTAATTGGAGATACACTAATGTGAAAACCAAGACTTGTACTTTGAAAGAATTTTTACAAATCAAATGTTAAAATCTCGCTTGCCTAAACCGGCGATGTCTTCCCAGGATAAAGAGCTACTATTAACCGTTAACCATTTAATCAAATATTACTTTAACATATTTTATCTTTCAACAAGGCCATCAATACTTATCTATAACATTGTTTCACACAAACATTAGATCTTCCATCCCATTCTTAGACATGTGAATAGATGGTTAATAAGGTGAGATCCTGTACTTCTGAGTTCATAATCAGTAGAATAAATGTTACTATGTTTTTAATGGATTCGCAGCACATAAGATGGTAGATTAAACTATTCTAAACCTGAATCACTTTAACTTATAACAAACATCCTTTGCTGTGGAAAACTGCATAAATTATGAAGTTCAGCACTTACATTAACTTTGTAACCATGCATCATATATTGATTCATTGCGTCAATTCCTGCAGCTTTTCCATTGGAAGAAAATTACACGTATTACAATATAAAGTAGCAGAAACAAAATAAGTGGTGTGTAATATGAATCCAAAGACTAGAACACATTATGCTCATACCTCCTAGCGGTATACTTTGATTGTTGGAGGCATCTGGCATCAAAAGCTCATCCCATTCTAGCGTATTTATCTCATGAAGTTTCTGTTCATGATCTTTTATGATCATATTACTGTTATGCTCTGAAAGTACACCAAGAAAAGAAGACTTAACTTCCAGACATATCCAGAACGAAAGTCGTGTCCGAAATAAGCAAGTTTGTTCGTGTATAAATTGGTTAGTATATTTCTGTGTGATAAAGTAAAAACCTCACTGCTGAGTGCTGACTAACTAGTTAATAGTTTTCAAGAGAAATAAACAAATTAATCCTGAGTGTTGAAGTGAAATATCTTTGGAAGAATTCTAAAATCACCTAAAGGGGATCTGGTACTTTTGTAATGCACCATAGAATCAGACTCTTCCAACAAAGGACCAGAGGCAGGTTTCTCACAGATGGCAACAGTGGAGTTGGAGCTTCTAGGTGTAGCTGGAGCTGGGGAAGCCTACGAATTGAACATTACACATAAATTAACCTCAGCTTCAATGTCCTACTTCAGACATATGAGTATGATTATTATGTGTAGATGTCATTTCCTGAGAGTTAGTTTGAGTTAATTGATCATGATATGAATTATAATTGCATTTTTAAGTAAAGCAACCAAAAAGTGCTCATACTAGCAACCTACTAGTCTTTTGCATACGTGAAGTTATAACAGATGTTCCATTTCCAGGATTGAACGGAGACACCGGAATCATTTTGAACATAAAACGCAGAAGGAACAAAACAATATGTTGGGAGAGGAAGACTATACTAGCCACACAAAAGGGATTTGCAGAATCATACTAATGAGTGAGAAAGGCCTCTTCTATTCAGTTTATAAAATGATTAACAAATGGATGGGGGAGATTTAGAGTAAAAAAAAAAAACAACAACAACAATGAATGAAAATATACTATTTCATACATGAATTGTCTGACTGGGCGCCACATCTTCAAAATAGAATTATCAATGCGTTAAGAAAAGTATGTTTAGGTAACTTTGTCCCTTTGTGAAAATGCAACAAATTTATTAGTTATAATGTCAAAAAACTAACCTCATATCTAAATAGACATCACATAGTAGGGAATGTGTTCCATATAAATATTCAGCTCAGTACTATCCATTCATGTGTGCGTGCACATGTGTCTAAACATAATAGTGATACATAGTATTATTACATAAAAAGCCAGTAAATAAGAGCAAATGAATTCCATATTAAGATTCAGCTCAAGGATAATGCACAAAAATTGATACATTTATCTATAATTGATATTAAAATTCACAATATCGAATACTAATATACTAGAATCTGGTAAGGCACACAATTAACAACATATTTGCTCTTAGTAAGAGAAAAACCTCTTGAGTATCGCGGTAGTGGACAAGGACGATATGTTCTAAGGACCTGAAACAATAAAGGTGCTGATCAAATATACATACATATATAGAGAGAGAGAGAAAGGAGATTTTCAATCAACAAACAAATGGCTGAGTTTAAAAAGGATAAGAGACATTAGAATAAGGACTAAAGTAGATCATAGATGTAAAGACTTGTGATTTCATACGCTTTATGATTTCATACTTGTCAAGTAACCAGTAACATCTGCGAACAAATGTGGGGTTGTCTTCTCCATGAGCATAATATACATGGATTCTTTCGACATTTCCAACCTGTGTTGTGAGAAGATAATAAAAAACAACAATAGTGTTGACATATCAATACCAAAAAAATCACAAGAATCAAGTCTTCTGTCAATTCTAGTCACTTAGACTACTTAACTACAAGTGTTTATATTTACGTTGTAAACAGATTCATCAAATTGAAAGGAACAAATATAGAAAGAAATGGAACAAAAATGCCAATAGAAGATTAGAAGCAATGTGAACTAACAGAATCTAGAAACATGGAATTCAACACAAAGTCGCTTTCACATTCAAATTTATATAGATTGCTCAATAATATTAAGAAAAATAAGAATTAATACAACCATTAAACGTATCATGTGTATAATTTGCACACAAAATTAGAACAGGGCTGTAGTTTGATTATCCATCAAGAAGAGAAGTGGTATCAAGCATAAAGGATTTTGCTATCCACATCCAAAATATCATGCAATGTCTGAAATGAATACAAAAATCATTAAACCCATTGAAATTACTTGTCTATGGTTGAATAAGCATACTATAGCCTACACATTTAGAAGTCCACATTTTATAATAATAAATGTTTGAGTTGTTTTCTCGAGTAGAAGTAGGGGGTAGGCATGTGCACAGCAAATTGAGAATCAGAACAGGATTGGGACAAGACTGAAACAAGTGGTATACCATCTGACTTTTACGATTCCTGTCCTATGTTTGTCCCAGTTCCTGACTCTTGTTTATAGTATAATCATATAAAATTAAATAATTTAAATAAGGAATTATATAATCAGTAATAATCAATAATCCATATTTTTATTTTTTAGGTACTATTGATGACTTAACAATAATATACTTATATACTATCAGTTAAGTAAACATTATGCTGTATATTCATAAAAAATAAATTAATAAAAGTCTATCCTTCTTTAATATTTTCTTCGGAGTAAAATCTAGTTTACAGAAAATGATGAATATAGTCCAGAATCTCCCTTACTATTTGTTTTATAATTTAACTTGTTAGAAAAGGGAACGTTTTGCTATAATATATATAAATATATATATGTAGGTACATGATTATAGTTCTGTTGTAGACTTCTAAACATACTGTTTCATTTCAGATAGTAGATCATAAAATTCCCAAATTTCCAGAGATAAACCGGGATGGGACAGAACAAAAAAATATTTAGGATGGAGCCATAACTATGTTTCTGTCCCGATTAAATTCTTAGGTGGGACCCCATTCTCACCCCTAAGTACAAGAAAAATTGCATAAGTAAACAACACATTTATGAAAATGAAAGATGCATCCAATCACATAACGGAACATTCACACCTTTTCTCCACCATTGGAGATGTGTGAACTGTAAGGTTCTGTGTCCACTGTTAATGCATAAAAGAACTTACTTTCAAGTGCTCGTGAGCTTCTTTGACTGTTTTTCCATCCTTTTTCTTCTTCCAGTTATAACCATCTTTCCTAAAATTCCGAAGCATCTTACGGTCAAACAACACAATTGTGCCACCTATTTCAATACAATAAACTTAACCTTAGCTCATGTAAATTTTTGGTAGCTTCAGTAAGCCATTCAACAGGTAATTTGTGTTAGCTCAATTAGTGGGACATTAACTTTTTCCATCCATAGTTTCTAATTACAAAATATAGGCATGAATACGAATTAGATGCATACTTTTAGGCAAATGTACAGGTTTGACGTGAACGGTGAAAATTTTGTAGTTACAAAGTATTGCGTGAATCTCATTTGGTCTGAGCCATCTCGCCTTGGCCTCCTCCATCATATTGCCAACATCCAAAGCTGCCAACAACGAAAAAGATCCAATAGATGACAAAAACCATTAAAATGAACCAATAGTGAGCACACACCACATAAATTCTGCTTCATTAACATCAGAAGATCAATCATATATGCAGGGGCATGCACAAGTCTTTAAAGAGTCAAACAACAAGTAATTTTTTATTTATATTAAGAAAGTAATAATATTACACACAATGGAAATGCCTATGCAAGAAACTTAAAAAGATAACATTTACATCAACAGATTATTGCATTTGCATCACTTGTAACCAAAGTTTGTAATGACATTAAAGTCCGGCTATATTGTTCAAACTTCAAATACACTTAGGGTGTGTTTGTTTGGAGGTTTGGACTTTGATTTGAAATTTGAATAGTAAAAATTTTGAATTGGAATGGTTGTATAATGTGATATAAATAGGTGTTGATATAATGTTTTGAATGTAAAATCGATTTTCAATGTAATATAAAAAATGAAAAATATGGGTTTGATTTGATGTTTTTGGGGGAAAAATTTTGATTAATAATAAAAATTGGGTGAAGTTTGACAAGAGAACACACCCTTATAATGCCAAATCAAATTATTCTTCAATTCTTCAGTCTAGTTCATGCAAAGTACCGAAAGATCATCAACCCTCCAAATATTGTTTCATCATGTCTCCCCTCGTGACAGACACAACTCAACCGCTCAAAACTAAATTTGGTTCTATAATAAGCACACACATGTACAAAATGTGTTGTTAAGCCATTTATATCTCCAATAACTAACTCATCAAATGTCAGAGAAAGTATAAACACAGAAGCAATATTGATGATGATGATGACGACGATGACACCAACAAATTTATCAGTGATATCGGAGATGATTTCTAACAGCTTCAGCTAACATTACAAAGACTTCATCAATCACTAACTATTGATCATAGAACCCGAAATAACTTAAAAAGTAAAGGTCAAAACATACCAAACCCTAACCACTCACGAATCACCTAAGAGAGAGATGTCAGCAACCAACGAGGGATCGATAATCAAAATATAATACTTTCAGCAAAACAACCATGAGACGTACCTCCAGTGGTTCGGAAGCCATGAATCTCGGAGCCAACGAGGGCAGTATTATTCTCCATCAAAACACTTCAGATGAGAATCAACAAACACCAATCGCCGCGTGCAACTACAGCATCAGACGCGGTTATCAGGCCCACAAAGTCAAATAACAAAAATAAATAAAATATAATCATAAATTTGCGCTCTGAAACTAAAATATTCAACCCAAATCGCAATGGAGTTAGGGCAGGGCGGCGATTCCTTGGTAGGATCGCAAAATGAGAGCTGAGAAGCAGCGTCAGATTACGCTTCCTTGATCGAAGAAAAGTTGCTTTCCTGCTTTTAGAGCATTGGATTCTCGAGAGTTCTATGACCTCTGTGTATCCTCCTCATCCTCCTCAAATGGCAAAATAGGACATGACGATTTCCTGAAGCTTCGCCGCCGGCTCAAGTGAAGTCAAGTTTGAGTTGCCCGACAAACCCCTGTTTAACTGCTCTGTTTGGTCGTACCGTCTCTTCCAATGCTAATTTCGTGGGTCTCTTTTCCTTCCTTATTTAACTTTTTATTTTCTTCAAACTTTTCTTATCTCTCTCCCCCCACAATATCGATTGATTCCTTTTATTAAGAATATTATATTTAAGAATAGTGTATTTAAAAATATTTAATTAGTTAATAATAATTAATTATAATATTATTTTTTAAATTTAATTAATAATATTAATAATTTTAAAACATATTATTTAATATATATAATTAAAAAATTTAAAATATATATTTAAATATTTAAAAAATTATATAGCAATAAAAAAAATATATATGTAATATAAATATCATACTTTTACTTATTTATAATTAATATAGATTAATTTTTAAATTGATATATATTTGTTAAGTATGTTCTGATTTAGTAAATTTTATCAAAAATAAAAAAATATATATCAATTATTATGAAACAAATAAAAATAGAAATTGTATAAAAAGATTGTCCATTGAAAGGTTGTCATTGTTCATTTTTTTTTTTTCTAAAATAAAGTTACAATTTTCTAATTGTAATACCTATATAACTATAATAAATACCCTTTCAACTTACATTATATTACACGTGCAAAAAGTAAGTGACAATCTTGCATCGAGACGGAGTAATAATTTTAATATAAAATAATATACAATATAAATTACAAAAAAAAAATACTGATAATAATAATAATAATAATAAATTCTAAATAGATATCTTTTTGTATCTCAAAATACTTTAGCCCATGTGCTTTTTAAAATAACACTTTATTTGATTTTGATTTTAAACTACATATTTTATTAGAATTTTAATTTAAATAGTATTTCAATTGCATTTTTTTGTAAATATAAAAATTATATATTTATTTAAAAATATTTTAATGCATCTTGTTTTTATTATGAAATTAGTTTCATAAATATAGATTTTGTTGGATAAATTTGATTGTGGTATTTATGGTGAATTAATTTGGTTATGTGATCCATCCACAATATCTACACTACCTTTTACCCTTGCCACACTTTCTCTCTTTACCACTGATACTTTCTTCTATTTTATTCTCACAACCATGCACAAAATTAGTACAGGGTTTGGAGGGGCACTTAACCCCAAGCCCCAAAAAAAAAAATATATTCTCTCCGTCTCAATACAATAGCTTTATTTACTATTTTTGTCTGTCTCAAAATAATATTTTCATTTTTATAAATAACCATATCATCATAAAATTATCCCTATTTTTTTATTATTATTACACAATTGTCACTACTTTTTACACTAATATACTCACATGAGCAAAAAAGTCATTTATCTTTACTTTTTACCCACTACAAATATAATATTAATATTTCTTAAATCTCGTGCCCAATACAGTAAGACTATACTTTTTGAACAGAGAGAGTAGTATAATTTTAATATAAAAATTAAAAGTTTTAAATCTAAATATTAGAATTTGTCCCCTCCCCCTCTCTAATTCATGTCTATTATTTTATTTTACTTTTTATTTTAAACAAGATTGTTCGTAACTCTGTCATGTTTCAAAACTCAGCGTAAATTTTCTTTTTATTTTAAACATTGCATATCATCTCTTATATTTTAAAAAAAATATTGCATAAAATCACCTGTGATTTCGAAATTCAACGTAAATACCCACTTTACTTAAAAAAATTGCATGACATCCCTTTATACTTTAAAAATATTGCATGAAACCCTCTTGACATACAAAACATATAACAAGGGAGGTTTTATGGTGGTAGGGTTTCATGCAACGTTTTTTAAAATATAAGGGGTGTCATACAATGTTTAAAGTATCGAAAAACTTTACGCTGAATTTCGAAATCACATGGAGTTAAGATTAAGTTTATCTTTATTTTATTATTTCAAATTTATAATAATCTATAATATTTTTAATTTTAAATATATTATATAAAAAATACTTATAAGTTTTGTTAATCTAAATAATTTATTTTACTAATATAATTTTTTATGTAATATATAATATAAATCATTTTTTTTTTTTCGCAAAAATCAATATTAAATACTAAATATTCCCTCCGTCCCGATTCCAAATGGGTCATTTGGGATTTTGTAATATATTAAAAAATAATAGTATTTTATTAGTTAGTAGAAGTGTATAATGGATTTTGACATTTTTGTCATTTGACTTTATATAAAAAGTATATGTAATGATATGTTTGTAATTTAGGTAAACATAAGGATATTTTGATATTGATGTATGATTAATTTTACTAAAATAGAAAAAAAAGATACTTTCAAATGAGACAGACAAAAATGGTGAAATAGTCCTTTGAATTGGGACGAATGAAGTATTATTTGTTTATATTACAATCTCATGTATCTCAGATAAAATATATATATATATATATTTCAAACTAAAATACTAAATAAATATACCCATAATTTTTTATCTAAAATATTAACTCTACACCATCTTTTTTTCTCTTTCTTTTTTCCGTCTATTTTTTTTCGTATCACCCCACTATATTATCAAGGAATATCGAAGATGATAAGATGACATCAAATCAATAAAAGTGAACTGATACGAACAGATTTTTCAAAAAATACACTTTTGGTTAAAATAAGAAATGATGATTCATTTCATGATCTCAAATAAAATAAATCGGATTGTTAAAAAAAAAATTAAAGTAGGACAATTTTGCTCCATCGGAGTCTCGAAACTTGCTTCATCACTGCTCACAACAAAGATATTCATTTCAAATTTTTAATTAATTATTATTTTCATATATATATATATATTATTTTATAATTATTATTATTATTTAATGATATATTGTTTTTAAATTATATTTTTATTTTGTAATAATAATAATTATTAGTATTTAATTACGTTTGAATTAATTATAAATTAAATTTATTTATATTATTTAATATAACTTTATATATTAAACTGTGTTAAAAAAATATAATTACTATATTTTATTTAATAAATTAATTTATTTTGTTAATATTGATTTGTTTAACAAAATTAAATATATATTTAGATTTATATATTTTAAATTTTAAATTAATAAAATATATTCAATATTGATATTATTTAATAAAATATAAAATTTAATGAAATATAAAAATATTATAAAATTTAAATATAATAAAAAATTTAATATATATTACAAAAACTATTTTATATACATATCTAATATTTATATCACTTGATGTGTCATATATCCCAAATTAATTGAGACCTATAGCATAAAGGTGAGATCTCCCTAGCTAGCTGCCCGTTACTTCGTACATAAAAATATTGATATAGCTATAAAAATTTGATATGCAATAATTATACGCAAAATTGTCACATAATTTGACACAAAATATAATAAAAAGATAAATAAAAATATATCCATAACTATTTTAGTAACAAAATTTGTTATGAATTTTTTTCATCAATAATATTGAAACAAATTAGCTCCATTTTATTTTTTTATAATAAAATTTGTGTCACATTTATTCACAAATATATGAGCAAATAAAATTATTCATATTAAATATTATGGCAAGATATTATTATCATATAAATTGTATGATTGTTAAATATATAAATTATCTTAACTAACAATTCAAAATCATAATAATTTTTTACTATAAATATACGTGCAATCTATCTATACCTCTTATTATATCTTATTTTACAATTTAATCTATCTTACCTCTTATTATATCTTATTTTAAAATTAATTAATATTTTACAATTTATTAAAATATAATATTTATGGATAAATTATTTGTAAAATTTATCTTTTCTTTTATATTTTATTTGAAATTAATTAATATTTTATAATTTATTAAATTATAATATCTATGAATAATTTTTTTTACTAAAAATAATATGATTGAAATAGACAAATATCTATCTTTATCTGTTATACTATTATATATCAATATAGTTATTATATAATAAATTAAAAAAGTATAATATATTAAGTTATAATATTTATATAATATAATTATATGATAAAAATAAAATTTGTTAAAATATTTTACAAAAATTAAAAAAAAATTGTCTTATTATTCAACGAAATTAGAGACCTATAAATAGGTATAATATACAGATTCGATAGGCTTAACCTTAATGGATAAAATCAAAATATAAAATAACTAAATTCAATCTAAAATTAAATAACATCTCTCCATAAACTCAAGTGGTGTGGCAAAACAACTTGAGTTTATAAAGAGAGATCGAAGATAATGCATCCACAATTGTCCATCGTTCAATCAGAAGCAGTATTGTCAACTGAATTAGAGTCGGAAACAACGAGACTCTAGACGGAGTCGGAAACAACATTCGATGGAGTTGGAAATAACATACTCTCGATGGAGTCAGAAACATGGCTCTGGAGAAACGTGGCAAAACAAATTGTAAACAGATACACATACATGACTTCAATCGTAGACAAAATAAGGACTCAAAATATAATTAAAATCAGAAACTAAAATACTAGAAACTATATTCAAAGTCTCAAAATTGAAAAACCTCCGCTGACGCATAGACTCTGATATCATATTTAAATATTTTACAGAAACTCAAAATTTATATTATTATTCATAACAAAAATAGAAGTCTATAAATAAGTATAATATACAAACTTGATAGATTTAAATCTAATGGATAAAATCAAAATATAAAACTAAATTATGAAAATTCAAAAATTGCATTATTATTTATAATGAAAATAAAGACATATTTACAGATTCGATAGACTTAAACCTAATGAATAAAATCAAAATACTACCTCGTCCACTGCCACTCTATCAATTTACTTTTTGCATGTTAATCTTTAAATATTAATTATTATATCAAAACATAGTACAAATTAAGGAAAAACGACAAAAATACTTCTATTGGTGTCTTAATGAAATAAAATTTATAAAAAAATTATACAAATATAAGGATATCTTTAATGTTAAAAATAATAACACCAAATGCAAATGAATAGATTTGTGGTAGACGGAGATAGTATAAAACAACTGCATCAAATCTAAAACTAAATAACTACAATATATCAACAAAATTGAAATTTTCAAAG